AACGAGGGCATTCTTAATCATGCGAGTTTAAATTTATAGGGATTCTATACAAACAAACAATGAAAACGAAAGAAGGTTCCGTTGGTAGGTGCGCAGGTGGCCTGGGCCCATACTTTCAAAAAAAAGTTAAGAGATCGTAAGTTCATCAGCCAATCATTGACGGCCTTGCAAGCAAAATCCACCAATCATAGACAAGAAAATAGAGCGTAAGTACTTACGTTCACTTAGTCAGTTTTAAAAGTATCGCCCCTGCACGGTAGATGGCAGTGGACCGGAGCGAACGCGGCCTCCACCACTTCAATGTATACGTCTGTGGATTACTACGTGTAGTAAACTCAGTACAAGATAATTTATATCCATTTGACTGAATATGCGAATATTTATGTTTCAATCTGAAGAAATGCAATGCATACCGATAATAAATTCGGTAATAAACAGTGAATAAAGCGAAGTACACTTTAGTGTTTCAAGTTCGAAATCGTATAAGTCCTTTAAAGTATTATGCATAAGCCAATAACATTACAAAAACAGATAAACCTGAATTATTTTCCAGAAAATAAACTGCATTGTGTCCAATACAGAGCCCCAGATTCATTGACAAATGCTGAATTTCTGCAGAACAAACATTTTCAACCACTGAATTCTCAGAAATCATGTACATCGATTAATTTCAAATCAATTGATGTCAACAAACAGATATGTTGTCTCTACTGAACAAAGATAAGAGTAAACAAGGATTATTTGCTAGCCCGAAACGCGACTGTGCAAATTTATAAAGCGCTCCATAAATAAAGAAATTGGGTATCGCGTAAATATACCAGAGTTTCGACGATTTTGAGAGCAGCGTGAATCATCGATCTCGGTGCCATAGGCAGTTCAAGTGTAGAACAACAAACGAAGAATTTTTCTCTTGAAATTTTTAGGTTCTAAAGTGCGACCTTCAAAAACCGGATCTATATAAATAATTTCGACGCTAAGTCATAACTCCGAAAGGCCAGAAATTCCCCATTGATTAACTGACAAACGAATGAAAACACTTAGTTGATTTTAAAAGAACAAGCAGCGTGAGGGGAGACGAGCGGCATGAATGTTGAAGCGATAGAGGAAACGGCGATGAAGAAGGCAACGCAGCAAAGGTCGGAGGGCGCGAGATCGTCGCACAGGTCGAGGTTACGAGCAACGTAATTGTTCCGTTGTTGCAGGGTTACGCGCAGCGTGGGGAAACCGTTACGGCAGGATTACGGGTGCATCAACGAAGCGCGAGGACTTCCTTATTAATGTGTTGCACATATCGGTGCACAACTGCACATATCGGTGATATTATTATTATTCATTGCTAGGTGTACATAAAATGACGCTAATTAAAAAAATATAACTCAGTACTCACTGCAGTGAGTGACAGAGAGCGCATTTTCTCGTCGACGAAGACGTGAAGTCACGGACAGACGGAAAGGCAGACGGACAGACAGACAGACGGACCGACGGACAGACAGACGGACATGACGAGCACAATAGCGCCTTTTTCCATAAATGAGAAAATGAGCTAAAAAGGATTTTGGTTCCAGACAACGTCACAGTTAATAAATTAAACACAGCCAAATGACTAAACAGTGTCTCAATCTGTACAAAATACTTTGTCAATTAATGTTTGAATCTTATGCATGCAATCATATTACAGAGCAGAAACATGAAAACCTTATTTCAAAAGTTCAGACAGTAGCACTGTCGGAGAATATGAAGCCAGGTTGACGGCTTCTTCAATTCAAAACTTCAGACAGTTGCAGTGGCCAAAAATGATGGGGACAGTTTGACGGCTCGATCGTATCTACGGAGATGATGACAATCTTAAATTAAATTGCTCTTGAATTTACACTTACTGGGGCCATACTTTCAAAACTCGCTAAGTGAACGTAAGTACTTACGCTCTATTTTCTTGTCTGTGATTGCTGGATTTTGCTTGAAAGGCCGTCAATGATTGGCTGATGAACTTACGATCTCTTAACTTTTTTTGAAAGTATTGGCCCAGTACAATAACTGGGACGGCGAGAGTGCGCGCGGGGAGCTTGTCTCTATGGTAACGGCCACAATATTTACCAGGGAATAAAGTCTAGTAAACTGCGCAGGTCAGAGAGTACTGAGACAGGCGCAAGTCAGCATATATGTTCCATCATAATGAAGGATATAAACGCATACATCTAATTAGGCATTAAGAAAGCTTGAAGCGAATATAATAAAGTGACTTGCATAAGTAAGACAAGAAGATGTGCTTCAATAGATGGATAAAACGCATCTTAAAAAAGATAATCCAATGAACAGGACTTGAACCGACGCGTGGGAGGATCAAGTATATGGCGTATCATATTGCTTGGTAACTGAAATTGATAAATGGCTTCTCTTCCTTAAATAAATAATTAACTTCCATGTAAATAATTACATAGAATATACATAATTTACAATATGAATTAAAGAAAGAATAATAAATAATAATGCGATATATTGATGCCATATGCTAGATTTTCGGCATCATGTAAGGTAGATATTATTCGATCGATCATTCTTTTACTGCGCTAATATAAGCCTCGGACAAAAAAGGTAAACCTCGCTGCACAATCATGACTCACGGCTTGTGACGTGATCGCAATGCACCGAGTCAGACTCACGCGACCAGAACCACCGTTACTGAGATCCCTTGATAAACGGCAGGCATTTTTTGAGGCGGCGGACGAGAGAAAGATATGCGCGCCACACGCCGACCAACATTAGCGGTCGCGTGGTGCACATGAGAACCAGTGACTGTAACATAGATACGATGCGAACCGTTCATGAGAGCTCCAGTGAGGGCGGTGCATACGAGTAACACAGACAGGGAGAGGCGAGAGACAGGGAGAGATGAGAGACGGGCACAGACAGGGAGAGACGAGAGACCGGCACTGTCAGGGATAGACGAGAGACAGGGAGAAACGAGAGACCGGCACAGACAGGGAGAGACGAGAGACAGACACAGACAGGGAGAGACGAGAGACAGACACAGACAGGGAGAGACGAGAGACGGGCACAGACGGGAGAGAAAACGGAGCGTCGAGACAAAAATTCTAAACAAATAATGAAAACGAAGAGAAGCAAAGAGAAGTACAAAAGCATAGCTGCGGTCCAGAGCACAAGATGGCGGCGGTTTAGGACCAAGAGGGAAGGGTTCAGCGCGCACAAAAAATGCGGTTTTGGAACCAGGGACCATACTTTCAAAAAAAGTTAAGAGATCGTAAGTTCATCAGCCAATCATTGACGGCCTTTCAAGCAAAATCGACCAATCATAGACAATAAAATAGAGCGTAAGTACTTACGTTCACTTAGCCAATTTTGAAAGTATGGCCCCAGAAACGCAGCGGTCCAGAGCACAAGTGAGCAGCGGTTCAAGACGTCACTATAAGAACAACGGTTCGCCTTGAATGAGAACTAAGGGTTCTCAGCAAGTGAGGTTCACGATCACTCATGCGCAACAGGTCAGCTACACGCGCTGTGCACAATTGAGCAGCGTGCACATCTGGTCATATGTCGGCACATGGACCTGAGCACGCACAGGGTGTGATGGAAATGTAACAATGATAAAAAAAGATAACTAATTAATAATATTAATGCATTGGAGAATTGGAAATATTACCTGGAAAATAAAATCAAAGTTAAGAAGTCGTTCGAAATAATAATATCACAAAAGAAAATATTTACAGGATATAAATTTGACAAAAATTAGAATATATTTTTCATAGGTTGCACAAGAGTGTCCCACACGACATTTTCTATTCTGCAGGCCACGCAGGTGAGCGCTCCAACAGCCTACAGGATAGGGACAGAAAAAATCATTCCAAAAGCCAACGAGTTTTTAACAATTTTATGCCCGAGCGCAGATTCGTTCACGAGCGCTCGTCTGGTATCGTTTAGCGCTACATGAAATCGCTCTCAGGACTCGCAGGAATGGAAGCTACGTTCACTCGCTGAAACCAGCAGCTCATATTTCCCAATTAAAAATTTAAAATGAACGAATGATACCAAGGGAGTAAACTAATGAAATAAATTAAACCAATTAATTATTCAACTAATTAATAAATTAAAGTAATACTTTACATTAAATCAAGTAAATGGCGCCGTTTGTTCTTGGCATGATTATCATCATTTGTCTCGAAATGAAAAATATTGCTGACGAAAGAAATAATTTCAAAACTTGGTGTATAAAGAAATGGTTGCATAAATTTCAAGCCTGCATCTCATTTGCCTCGCGCTAATGAATAGAAAACAACAAACGTTACATGCTAAGCTGATAGTTGCACAATCTATCACGATACGCAGCGTTGCAGAAACACTATACGCGATTCAGAGGAAATAAACGGTATCAATTGTTACCATAGCCCGTAATTACTAACTTTACGCGGAAAGACAAAACAACGGCAGAACAAAAGCTACAAGAAATCCACTTCACAGGCGACTGAACCCAAGCACGCCAACGCGCCTCTTGCAAGTGCTGAGGCTGAGGCAACGTGAGGCAGCTTCTAGCAAGTGCTAAGGCCGCGGCAACGTGAGGCAGCTTCTTGCAAGTGCTGAGGCCGTGGCAACGTGAGGCAGCTTCTTGCAAGTGCTGAGGCCTGGCAACGTGAGGCAGCTTCTTGCAAGTGCTGAGGCCTGGCAACGTGAGGCAGCTTCTTGCAAGTGCTGAGGCTGAGGCAACGTGAGGCAGCTTCAACTGAATGTAAGGCGCTCAATGATTTTCTTCGAATAAATTCTTCATAACTAAATTCCATATTAGAATTTAAATATTTGCAATAGAAATCCAACAATTCAGTTAATTACGAAAACTTTTCCCTTATTCCGTACAGGCAAAAATAATAGTCGGTACAAGAGCTAATCATCACCACGGATACAATTAGTGTAGACAAGAGCTGATCAAGAGCACGGATACAATTGTTCTACACAAGAGCTAATCATCACCACATATACACTAAAGTACTCACCGGTTGGCGTCTTCCATGAGCTTGAGGAGCCGCAGTTCCTCCTGAGAAGCGGCCGCCTGCTCGGCGCTGCCTTAATACGTAGAGGTAGCAATAACAGTCTATACAAGAGCTGAAGATCACCGCATATACACTAAAAGTACTCACCGGTTGGCGTCTTCCATGAGCTTGAGGAGCCGCAGTTCCTCCTGAGAAGCGGCCGCCTGCTCGGCGCTGGAGAGCGACTGGGCCGCGGCGATGCTGTTCATGGCGGCCGCTAGATCATCAGCCGTCGGAGCCCCGAAGCTCAGGAAGCCGCCGGCAAGCGAACTCTTCCTCGAGCAAACGCCGATGCTCGATGTCGAGGACTTCCTAGAGCAGGATGAGTGGGCTCCGTAGCTTGCAGTCGAGGTCTTCCTGGAGCAGGAGCCGCTAATACTGGAGGAGGAGGAACTCTTCCTGGAGGTGGTCGAGGTCTTCCTGCTACTGCACTCGCTGCTGCTGTCGTAGCCGCTGCTGCAGGCGCTCAGCGTCTCGCTCGTCTTGCGACTTACTTCTGCACGGCCCGACTCTTCATCATCGCACCTGTTGATATAATAAAAATAATAATATGTATCAAAATTCACACGAATAAAAATTCCAGAACGGATAGATAAAATATAAAAATATATATAACTCAGTACTCACTGAATGCAGTGAGTGACAGAGAGCGCATTTTCTCGTCGACGAAAACGTAAAGTCACGGCGGACAGACAGACGGACGGACGGACGGACATGACGAAGCACAATAGGTCATTTTTCGCATAAATGAGAAAATGCGCTAAAAAAGATCAAATCAAACACTCCAGCAGCGGAGAAGCAAGTAACGAATTACGGTTCCAGAACAAGCAAACGAAAACAAAGAAACAATTAATACATCTTAGCAGTACGACTAGCCGGTTTCTTCATCCATCAGGATCATTAAGCGACTCAACTGAAACACAGGCTTTATTGTGAATTAATTCCTGCTCCGTCAGACACACAAAGCCATTCATGATGCCACAAAATCAACAACGACTGACGCAAACACAGCAACTGCAGCGGCGAACTGCTGGTGTTGTTGGGGAGAGGGGGTGACGTGAGGCTGCTTAGGTGGTGTGGTTAGGTTAGGTTGTTCAACCTGTGAGGCAGACCAGGAGGAGTGGGCAAGTGAGGCAGCGTGAGAAGAGGAGTGGGCAAGTGAGGCAGCGTGAGAAGAGGAGTGGGCAAGTGAGGCAGCGTGAGAAGAGGAGTGGGCAAGTGAGGCAGCGTAAGAAGAGGAGTGGGCAAGTGAGGCAGCTTACGAGCTTAGGAGTAGGCAAGTGAGGCAGCTTAGGAGTAGGCAAGTGAGGCAGTGTAAAAGAGGAGTGGGCAAGTGAGGCAGCGTAAGAAGAGGAGTGGGCAAGTGAGGCAGCGTAAGAAGAGGAGTGGGCAAGTGAGGCAGCGTGAGAGTGAGTGGGCAAGTGAGGCAGCGTAAGAAGAGGAGTGGGCAAGTGAGGCAGCGTAAGAAGAAGAGTGGGCGAGTGAGGCAGCGTAAGAAGAAGAGTGGGCAAGTGAGGCAGCGTAAGAAGAGGAGTGGGCGAGTGAGGCAGCGTAAGAAGAGGAGTGGGCAAGTGAGGCAGCGTAAGAAGAGTGGGCAAGTGAGGCAGCGTAAGAAGAGTGGGCAAGTGAGGCAGCAGCAAAAATTAAAACTAAGAGCGTAATGAGCGTGAGCTGACTACGAGCTTAACAAAATAAAAGATCATCGATAAAATAATTGAAGGCTAAACATAGCGCTACTTATGTATAAATTACAGAACAAAGGAGACGGTGAACGCTTGGTCTAAAGGAAACGAAAGCGGGACTTTAGTGTAGCTAAATTAATGGTGTTCGTCGCTGAACAGAATTGCGTGAAATATGTCGATCAGTACCAGTGGAATGATGGTTAATTTAGTTATATGATATCGTGGAAAGTAATATTACAGACAAATGAAGTGGTGAAATAATAATATAAATAATTATATATATCATCATACAACAATATATGAATTATAATGAATACCCTTATATACAATTGATATGATGGAATTTTCTTATTGTCGCGCAGATATGCTAGCTACAAATTTAAAATGAGATATTGAATAGTTCGAAATTTGAATGCCAAAGATTTCGTGTGAAAAATGTAATATGTCTTACATACACAAAGATCCTCTGAAAATCTAATAGATTTATTTTAAGCAGTCATAACCTTGTTAATTTCAATTGGGTTGAGGAATGAATGATAGAAATAAGTTAACTGGAAATTCAATGATTCAACATCAGTTAGTTTCAGAGATCGAAAGACGCTAAACTACCGAAAAATGAACGACCAAACGAACAATAAGTTATCTAAGTGAATGAATAACCCTAGGAACAGAGAAGAAAATATAACATATGCGCCAAATGCGCACACTGAGCAGCACAGAGACTCTAGTCTGGTGGCAGTTCACATGCTGTGGCCGTGACACTGCCACTATAATTTAATCGTCAATAAATGGATCCCTCATCGAGCGTCTTCGAAGTAAGGTTCATGTATACATGCGTACTGCAAAACGCACCAAAAAGCATACAATAGCACTTCAAAGTAGTGAGCATCGTCTTCGAAGTAAGGTTCATTTATACATGCGTACCACAAAACGCACTATAAAGCATATAATAGGACTTCAAAGTAGTGAGCATCGTCTTCGAAGTAAGGTTCGTGTACACATGCGTACTGCAAAACGCAACAAAAAGCATACAACAACACTTCTAAGTAGTGAGCATAGTCTTTTAAGTAAGGTTCTTGTATACATGCGTACTGCAAAAGGCACCACAAAGCATACAATAATACTTAAAAGTAGTGAGCATCGAAGGAGCTGTATGTAGTGGAGGCACTGAAAGGGTACGCATTACTTAGGAAAGCTACTCAATAGAACTGTGAAATTAATATAATTGAATTTTCTCGCAAATTTGGAGTTGAATTTTCTCGCAAATTTGGAAAATTCATTTTAAACACATAAAGCAAGACAGGTTTACGATATACAAAGCTATGAATATCGACAATTTTCAAACTGATAACATTTACCGATATTGTTACATGACTCTACATAGCAAATTTAGTAAAACAAAATATATAGAGAGACGCGAGTCGCCAATTCACAACATGATCACCTGAAATGTGAACTCGGAGCAAAATTAACCTTTGAAAAATGCCGTTACTCAATTAAAATAATCGCACAGTTACGATTGGATGCGACAAATAAAAGGACTGACTCGATCATGTGTTACTTCTAAGAGATAATTCCAGTGAAAGAGCAACTACCTAGCACGACAATTCTCCAACTTCATTCAAAATAAAATCAGCATTAAAAATATACGTTACTTCGTCTACCTATGCGTAAAATAGAAATTACTTTCGAAGTGTTGGCAAGAAAACGTATCTTCAAAAAACGAAAAAGGCGAGAAGACATTTTACGGAAGCCTCTACAGACCACCGCCTACGCTGACTCTTTTCAAAGCAGTGAGGCGACTCAAGCGAGGGCGACAAGAGCGGCATTGCTTCAGACAGCATTGCTTGGTAGTAAATAAATGAATCGCTAAACATATTGAAATTTTCTGGCTATAACAAGGGAAATTAATGTTAGCTCAGAAAACATTACATCAGCTCACACAAACATTACATCAGCTTAGACAATCATTACAGCCGCGAGCTTTTCATCAAAAGTGATTACAATTAAGAGGGAATAATGATTTGAAAATCTAACCATTTCTTTAAATAAATCACACAATTGTGTTAAGGCTCAACTCATCAGACACACGATAAAATCTGTATATTAACTCTTTGATGTATAATAGGAATATACTTCAATTAAATTTAATTTAAATTGGGAGATTCGAAAATAAGGAAGGAATGCGCTGGTTGAACAAAAGCACTCGATAAAAAGAATCCGGTGGTTGAACTCGCGCGTACCTTAGAGCAAACAAGCAAATTCATCATGCGCGTGATTTGTCGTTAAATCAGTCGGCCTACACGAGGATAAAGCTGCGTGCCATCATAACTACAACAGAAGTTCAATTGTCAGTCTCTTAGATAATGGAGATGATAATTTCTAGAGGTTGGTTAGCGTGGAGACAAGAACGCCTCTCAGTTCACACAGTAACGAGGAACTGGAAGGCGCGCAGGGCCGAGGGTATGAGCGGCATCACCAGGGCACGCAAATCAATCCATGAAGACAGCAGGTTCAGGCTCTAGGGTCGGGCAACAACTTATATTAGTTGCCAGAAATACGAACCGCAGCACGACACTCGTGATTGATGATACGTGAGAAGCACGCGAGCTTCAAGCCCGCAAGTTAGGCTTCACACCCAACTGCTACGCATATGCTAGTCACGGTGCGTTCCTTGCCACGTGCATTACCATGTTCAGTCCGGTCACGAGCCGTTCCCTGCCACGTGCATTACCATGTTCAGTCCGGTCACGAGCCGTTCCCTGCCACGTGCATTACCATGTTCAGTCTGGTCACGGTCCGTTTCCTGCCAGGCGCATTTACATGTTCAGTTTCAGTCCGGTCACGGTCCGTTCCGTGCCACGTGCATTACCATGTTCAGTCCGGTCACGAGCCGTTCCCTGCCACGTGCATTACCATGTTCAGTCCGGTCACGGTACGTTTCCTGCCAGGTGCATTACCATGTTCAGTCCGGTCACGAGCCGTTCCGTGCCACGTGCATTACCATGTTCAGTTCGGTCACGGTCCGTTCCCTGCCCACGTGCATTACCATATTCAGTCCGGTCACGGTCCGTTCCGTGCCATGTGCATTACCATGTTCAGTCCGGTCACGGTCCGTTCCGTGCCAGGTGTATTCCCATGTTCAGTCCGGTCACGGTCCGTTCCGTGCCAGGTGTATTCACATGTTCAGTCCGGTCACGGTCCGTTTCCTGCCAGGTGCATTTACATGTTCAGTTTTAGTCCGGTCACGGTCCGTCCTCACTTCAGTTCCTTTCGTATCACGCGTCATGTCAGTCACGCACCGTTGCTAACTGGTATATTTCCATATTATATTTAACAAATATCGTATGTCGAGATGGTGTCTGGTATGGCTATTTTTGATCTGGTATATTTGCTAAAATCTGGTATGTTAAGATGGAAATCTGAAATACTCGGCAAGAAAATTGTTGACAACGCTGCAGTCATGTCTAGGTCAGAATATCTTTTGTCTTGATCGTGGCTCGACCATGCCTAGCATGGCAGGTGCTTCGCACGGCTGGTGTGAATGCTTCTATAAAATGCATTAAAGAATATTGTACTGGACCGTGACTGGCATGTGCCAGTCAGGTGAAATTCAACAGAATATAAACGAATATGAACAAATATTTACGAAAATTTCACGAAGCATTAATTAAATTTTACAACGATTCTAATCGCTATATATAACGTGTATTTCTAGGTGGTATACCACCTAGAAATACACGTTCAAATACAAATACCACATAGAAAGTTCACGCTATAGCGTGAACTTTTCACATTTCGTTTGCCAGGCCCAGAGGACGGGGTTTCCTCTCAAAGAAAGCT